GGGATTTTCTGTATTTGGGTCCCATTCCTTTTGTCTTCTCTGAAATGGAATTTGGCTCTCAGAACTGAAAGAAGTTCAGCATACTTCTGCTAGAGGATGCAAAGTGGGCCAGATGGGTTCAAGGAAAGAAATTAGAATGGGCATGTTTCCACTTTTTTGAGTACAGCCCATTTTTAAGGTTGATCTTCCATATCACACTACTGGATGACTAGATATGTGTTGAGAGCCAACTGTTGCCCTTTGGGAGCCCCACATGATAGGCAGCCTTCATTTTTGCTTGTCTCATGGGCCCTTTGGTGTCCCCTCACTTCCTGCCATGCTCTCAGCTATTGTCTCTTGTCTTCCTTACCTCTTTTCATTCCTGTACCTCGCACTCCCCCCTTCTGAACACTTGTTCACTCAACCATCACACATTCAGGCCTAAGAAGTGTTGAGCTACAACTCTGACCATCCCCAGTCAGCTGGCCGGGGTGGAGGGAACGGTAGCCCATGTCCAAGAGGTACCTGATCAGGAAAGGCAGCTGTGACAGCAAGCACAGCTGTCTCAGGCCAAGGGCCAGCCCAGACAGGAAAGCTTGCTTCTGATGTTGAGGAGCTTCACTTGCTTACAACCTCCTGGTGTAAAAGAGGCTGCTTGGAGGATTTCTCCAGACCCTGCAGTTCCCTTCTCTCAGGTGGGCCTGAGTAGAGTAAATTTCCACCTAAGGCCCCTCATGTCACCAGTCTGAGACCTGCCTGGGCTTGAGAGAGAAAAGCAGACGTCCTGAGTAGAACATGAAGCAGTTCGGTGGATCCTAGGCCTTTCCCCTGTTTTTCTGTTCTGTCCTTCTTCCCTCACTTGCCTTTTCCTGTAATTGCACTCTGACAAGTGGCTTCTCCTTGATTTTGCCTGCCCCCATTTACTGACGAACCATTTCTCCAGAATTCATATTTAGCCTCTTGCTGGGAAGCATGACACAATTCTCAGACCACCATCACAGTCTTGTGCAGAGTGGCTGATACTTCAGTTTTCTGTTTCTTTGCTGTCAGCTCACCAAGATGGTTCGAACAACGCAAGCCGTGCCACCTGTTATGAAAAGCTCACTGAGATTTCAACGTAATGCAATGCAGTGCAGTTGCGAGGCATGGCAGCATCGGCTCATTTTACAGGTCCAGTCCTTTTTCTGTCCTTGAGCTCCCGCTCCCGCTTGCCAGGCATCGTTCGTGCTCCTGGGCCATTTCACTTTGACACAAAGGCACCGATTGCCCATTTTGTGTCCATAGAAGTACAGAATGCAGGGGTCAGATACTCTTAATATAATGCAAAACTTGCTTGCATTATTATCCATCATGTGTCAACAGCGATTTCTTACTGACATTTAAAAGACCCATCCCACGTCCATCTTCCCCACACACAAAAAGCTTTCTGCACGCACAAAATACAGCCATGATGAGAAACTTCAAACTCAAAATACTTCTGCTTTACATTTCTTGGAAAATTATGCCTAGCACTGGGCTAAAAATAAACTGACAAGGGCTGTGTTGATAATATATCATGTCAGTCATATTTATGCTACCTATTTTTGTACCGATTGCCCTGGTGTAGCTGGAAACCTTTTATGCAGCGCCTTGCAAAGATGTACCGTTTGCATGCCTCAGTCCCTTGCCTGTGTGTCTTTCAAAACAGGATCTTGCCCAGCCAGAGTCCTTGTGAAGAGTAGAGAACAATGTTTCACTAGGCAGGGAAAGCAACATTCCACAAGAGCTTCCAGGCAGAAAAGAAATGGGTGACCCAATACTTAATACAAGAGAAATTGGGGCAAGGGGGCACTGCAGTGCTCTGTGGTTTGCTGACCTAGATCTCTCTGTTCAGAAGTAAGACCCCCCCCCCGCAATTTCATGGCAGGTTACATGGGACAATGTATGTTTAGACTGCTGCCTTTATGCTCTTAACAGAAAACCAGTGACAGTGGGAATGGAGAAGGCATTTGCCCTTAAAATGCCCATGGTTACAATAGCCAAGGAAAAGGGTGCAAAGAAGGACACGAGAGCAGTGCTTTGGCTGTCACCTGAAGTCAGGTGGCTTGTTGAAGCTAATCTGGCTAGGACTGCCCATTCTCTGGAAGGGAGACCACCTGTGGCAACAGCTTGAGTTCCGTCATACAAGAAGAGTGGGTATACAAACAAATACATAAATAAATGATGGGAAAGATAAATATTTATGGCGACTTAAAAATGTGGGTTTGAAGTGGTCTGCAGACAGACAACATCTGTGTTTATGTCCACTGAGGAATTGCAGAAAAGTTCCTGGTTGTAGCACTAGCTGCGGAATCCGACTCCTTGACATGCTTGCATTTTCCTTTAAATTACCCTTATGATTGTGAAGGTATGCTGGAAAATGGGAGGCGGGAGGCACCCTGACCAGCAAAATCTTGCAAAATAAGACATACTGGCTGACCAAGATTTCTGGTTGGTGAACTGGCGGGGATTTTGTGCACTGTTTAGCTCCTAATTAAACCCTCCCCCTAACTAATGGAAACAGAATGAATTATGCAAATTGAGACATAAATTATACAGGTTGCAGAATCCTGTTTCTTCTGGATTTCTTATTTAGGGTTGAATTTGTACTGCCTTTTATTTTTATATATTTATTTGTCCTTGCTGGCTTAGTCTCTTGCTTGCTGTACAGTCTCTTGCTGTACTTGGTTGCTGTATTTTTATCTGTTTTGTTGTTTGTTTTAAAAATTATTTCTTATTAGTTGGCTTGCGTCTTCACACGAGACAAGTCAAGATACACAATTTAAAAATATAAGTATGCATAATTATTTAGGTCTCAGTGACAGGCCCTTTCCTTTCACTGCATCTCCCTCCTCTGGCACCAGGTGGAACAGGTTTAGTTTGCTGCTGGAGTACCAACCTAGGAAACCAGGCTTTGGAGAGACAGGATGGTGTAGTGGTTAGAGTGTTGAATTGAAATTAGTAGTTCTGGTTTCTAGTCTGCATTTTGCAGTGAAGCTCACTTGGGAGACTTTGAGTGAATCACTAACTCTTAGCCTAAGCTACCTCACAGCGTTATTGTAAGGCTAAGCAAATATGGAGAGGAGGAAGAAAGTAACCTTGGGTACCTTGGAGCAACTAAAAAAAGGGATAATTGTAAATAAATGGTCCTCATTGCAAGTGATGAGCAATGTTAATTAGCTCTATTTTTATGTCCTTGAAATAGAGCTAATTAAAGAGATGAATCTTATGAGCAAGGAAATCACTAGGCTGTAGGTTATGTCCATTTGAGATTAAATTTCCAGCCAGTTGTGTTCTCTGTTAAGCAGAAAGGGATCAATCATGTAGTGAGCATGACATGACTCAGTCACTGAAAGAGGATTGTTGGAATGACTGGCTGTTGGAAGTGGTAATTGAACAGATGGGCTGGGATTCAAAGAACCGCGCAGCTAGTGCTGTGACCCCATGTGGGTTTGGACATTTTTGCAAGTGATGTTTGCAGCGGAGGGAGTTTTAAAATCAGTTTGCAGTATGGGGAGGTGCAGAGCACGTTAAGCTGGTGCAAGGAGAATATTTTCTTTGGCCTGAACCTAACCCTATGGTTTGAAACTACAATCTGGTGCACCAAGGATTCAGACCTTCTTGTAGCCTGACGGCTGAATTCCATTTCAGAGAAGGTTTGGGGGATAGAGTTGGATGGCTGATTCTGGTGGTGGGTGGGGCCAAGGGAAACAGACCCCCTCTCCCCCAGAAACCAGAATAAACTCACTTAAAGCTCTCAACTGCCCGTTACCAGACCTTACGAAAGACATGCCAGCATTTTAGTCATTGGATGGCTCTGGGCCAGTCAGACTCTCAGCCTGACCTACCTCACAGGGTTGTTGTTGTGATGATGATAGAATGGAGAGGAGACCCTTGTCAGCCTCACTGTGTTCCGTGCAAGAGGAAGAAAGGTGAGGTATAAATGCAAAATGAAAAAGTTAGGCTGAGCGCCTGTGATTGTCCCAAAATCAGTCAGTGATTTTCATGGCCCAGTGGGGTCTAGAACCCAAATCTCTTGAGTCCCTGTCCAGCACCCTAACCACTATACCATGCTAGCTACTTGTTGAACTTGATACTGTTGGACTGATAAAGTCTAATCAGGGCACAATTCCAATTCATGTTTAGACACAAAAAGTCCTATACTACCTGGGAGTTGTAGGCTTTTTTTGCAAGTAAAATTGCGTTAAAAGTCAGTTTGCAATGAATAGTCTTTAATGCCTTAACTGTAGATTATAGGTTTTTACATTTGAACAGTGGATAAAGTAAATCAGCCCTATATTTAAGCACTAGACTGAAAGCACCAACTTCCAAGTAACAGGTAATTACAAGAGTAAACATGCTCATGGAGGAAGGATGCACTGTTTTCCCTTTGCATGAGCATCATAACCAAGCAGTGCCCTCGACGGGGCAAGTCCTTCCTTTATACTCAGCATAGAAATGCAGCTTCTGACCCTCCTCTGCCAGCCCTATTGGAGCTTTTGCAGGCTAGTAATATTCATGGAGAGTTACAAGGTGAGTTGCATAATTCATCACATGTACAAAGAATATTATATAATACAAAACCCGTCCTACCCGACCTGGTACCTTCTAGTTGTTTTGGACTTCAACTCCCAGAATTTCTAAGCATTATGCCAGTGGGGATTATGCTGTCTGGCATTGTTCTAAACTATGCTGGCTGGGATTGATGGGATTTGCAGTCCCGAACATATGGAGGGTTCCAGGCTGGAGAAGGCTGGTGTAATCCACCGCAATGCTGTGTTCAGCCGTTCTTAAGGATCTCCCTGTACCTGTTATCCGGCTTTCCCTTTCATGCCAAGTTCAAGAATTAACATCAGGCCAAGCCCTATTGTAATGTGCTCCCTCGGGCACTTTCTGTTCCCTGATGCCCTATTTGACGGGCATGCCATTTTCCGATTATAGGTCATTAGGCATTGTGTGCTTGTTTCTGATGTTCTCAACCTGTTTTTTGTTTTCTTTTGCAGTGTGTCTTCTGGCTTCGAAGGTATGAAGGAGCAAGAAATCTGCAACAAAATCATGGCCCAGATGCTGGAAAACTACAGTTCCTTGTTCGAGTGGGAACACCAGAAGGACAAAGAAATGCACCCATGCAGGGAGTTGGCAAAAATTATATTAGTGAAAGTGAGTGTCTGAAAGATTGCTCCTTTGACTTTTCAGCCGTTTTCCGAGATGCAATTTCATGCAGTGTCATGACAATCACTGTGGGAGTTTCTCCCCTTGCAATGTGAGAGTCTTTGCGTTGCATCCATTGAACTACGGTTTTTCTTGCTTTATAACACTGGGCTGGTTGCATGTTGCACAGAGCTGCAGATGTCTGTCTCTCAGTATAGCATGTGTCTGTGTTAATCAGAGTGTGGCTGCGGGAGGCTTTCATGAAGAGTAGAAAAAAGGCAGTGGAGGTCCTTAATGCTTCCCCTCGAGGGTGGACAACCTGTCGCTGTAGGGCTGTGAGTGGCCCACAGTCCAACTCCATGTGGCCTTCACAGGTGGCCGGGTCAGGACCCTGGCAAGAGCAGTCAGCTGCTTCCTTGCCCGTTGGGAGAGAAGAGAGAGAGAGGCTGAAAAGGGAGTGGGGGAAGAGAAAGCAGAAAGGGGCAATTCACCTACTTACAGCTCTGGCCTAGCACTTCCATGCAGCCATCCTTAAATTATCTGTGCAGAACTATGGCCCTCCAGAAGAAGAGTTTCTCCACAGAAGAAGAAGTGATTCTGCGCAGGAGAAAGGTTGCCAGCTCCTGCTTTACCTGATAGCCCTTTCTCTGCTGGCCTTCTACTTCTGACCACCATGTTTTCTTCTCCTAGTACAGGCAAATATAACAGTCCCTAGACTTTTCCTGAGAGATGAAAAATGGCTTGAAGGAAAAGAGTTTAGCAGTCCTTCCCTTCCCAGCCAGACACTCATACAAGATTTTAACTTTCAATATAATTAATCCTGAATGACCAAAGGAAAAAAAAATCAAGGGAATGCTATGCATGAACATAGTGACCCTAAGTATTGCATTCAGGTTTGTGGTTTTGAATGCTAATCTGTTTGTGTTGGGCAGGGGGGCAGGGTGGTCTGAGGAGAACTTCAAAGCCAGAAGGAAAATATTGCAGGCTGGTCACAACTGTAACTTCTCTCCTACTCTCTAGCTATAACCAGAGAGGTTTCTTTATTAATTCACAAATTCTGGGCATGCTGCATGCTAGTTGCTTCTGGCTTCCTAAAACAGCTTATGAATGTGACATTTGTCCCTGTAATTTGTGGGCTAATTTATCTGCTCACTGGAGTCAGGAGAAGACATTTGTCAGATGGCAACTGGTACAGTGGGGCATGTGCCAGGGCCAACCCACAAATCAACCCATAAATTGCCACAGGAGGCTGGCAGGATGTCCGAACAGGCTGACTGTAGTATGTCTGGTTAGATTTCCTTCTCTTCCCACTGCCTTTCAATTCTTCAAGCCAGACTGGTTGGGCCTTAAACTGCTAGCTGTCACTATATTGCGCAAAGTAATACCATCCTTTGGCAGCAGCTCCAGACTGTTAACTAGGAAAACCTGATACACGAGGTTTACAGCTATTATGGCATTTGCCACCTTAACCCGCTTTAGGGGCGCATCCATGATGCTTGAACTTTATTGAACTTTGCATCCCTTGCTTGAGCTTTCAAGATGCCTGAAACCTTCGAGCTTGGGGGTCTTATTTTTTTTCTACAGCTTTAGATCCTAAAAGTTTTTCTTCTTTAATAACCAGGAACATGCCAATGAAACTAAACCAGTCTGTGCTGATAAGTATATCTCTTATTTCTGAACAAGATCCTATAAAAAGAATACTTGGGGTGCCTTTAAGTGCTTTTCCCCACAACTCCCTAACCCATTTGACACCCCCTTGTCCTTGCCTACTTCATTTCTGCCCTGTTTGTCGATAAGGTTGGATGAATCCTTTGGGTTAAGTAAGGGACTGGAGACACAGCATTATCAAATATTAGAATCATTGAAATGTAAGCAAATATCAAAGAGTTTCCAGAGTGCTTATCTGAGTGTATTGAAAATGTTCTCCATGAATCATTTTTCAGTATCTCTGCAAAAAGCTAGCATGAGGATTCATCTGACCTTAGCTTGTGCGGAACAGAACAGGAAATGAAAGTGATCTTGCAATTAAGCCCACAAACATTGCTAACCTATAAGAAGAGGAAAAGAATTATTTTGCTAGTCTGCTAAAAGGCTGTTTGCTTGAATAGCCACAGAGAAAAGAAGCACTTACATCCTCCTTCATAGCTAGCGTGGAAACACAGACGACTTGCCCTTTAGTGGGGTGGTTTTTAGAAAAACCTTTTATGAAGTGGGTGGCAGGGAATAAATGGAACAATCCCTTTCTGAATCTGCTCACCTTCCTTTGCCAGGTTTTGTTTGGAATTCCTGGGTGCCTATAGCTTCATTTATCCAGGGACGCAGCTTAGAACAGGTTTGCTGAATCCACCTGCAGTGTGTGTTCTTGAGGCACTGTTGTGTGCAAGGGAAACTCCAGCTGTGCAGGTTTTGCCTGTGTTCTGGAACCTGATTGTACAATATCCTGAACCTGAGAAAAGGCTGTAGTCACATAAAGATGTACTCATACCGGCTTCCCCTGGCAGAGCTCCATGCCTAAAATGTGGGGCAGAGACCCAGCGTGCAGCCCTGTCCTGCATATGATTCCAGTTCATGTAACGTGTGTGCAAAGTGAACTCAGTGGCGCCCCAAGTCTTGTCCACTGATGTACTGGGGGCATGGCTGGTACTGATGCAGTGCTGGTATATTTCTTTATCAGCAGGGACACAAGCATTATCGGCAGCCTTTTCAGAATTCTCTGGTCCCTCTAAGCCAGGGGTCTCAAACTCAACGGACCTGGGGGCCACTGGAAGCAGAGTCTGGGTGAGGCTGGGCCGCATCAAGTATTCCACCCCCGCGGTGGTGGTGGGCCGCTCATCCCGCGGCCGGCCCGGGCGCTGCCGGCGCTTTGAAGGCCGCAGGGCCCCTCCCCGTGCCCCGCCCATCCTGGCAATTGGCCCACGGGCCGCGAGTTTGAGACCCCTGCTCTAAGCTGAGCTGCCACCCTCATGGTAGATGGTGAGGTGGGAGGAATACATGTTTTCAGAACTGTTCCCTATTGTAACGAGTTTTGGATGGCTTAGTTACGCCTTACGACTCATGAGTTTTAGGATGGACCTGCTCCTGGTGAAGATGAAAACCTCTGGAAATGGTGTGTTGGTATGAATCAGCACAGCTGGCGGGATTTTTGGCTTTCTTGCAGCCATGGCTCTGGGACTGTCATGATGAGCTTTCTTGTTCTCTCATCTTTGCGAGTGCCGGACATCACCCTCAGAGAGGGGGAAATGAGGGCTTTGGAAGGGGTGGGAAGGAAGCTGGAGGAGACTCAGAATAATCTTGGTCATTTTCCCCTGAATGAAGCACCCCCATTTCCCCCTCTCTGAGGTTGGTTTCCAACCAACCAGCTCTATGCCAGCTACAAAGGTCAGAGTCCTTCTGTGGTCCCTGGCTGTTTGCCCAAGGAATGTAGACTTACTCTCTTCAACACTTACCACATCGCAACTGTAATGGCTTATTTGAGTAAGTTAGTCAGCCTACAACCGTATGACTGATGCCCAGTTTTCTCTCTCCTCTGGTTTCCTAATTCTCCAAGCATCTGTGGATGAGATGTGTGCTTAATCCATACAGTGGGATCCTGGTCTGTGTGGAGGATTAATACTGCGTACACATGACTCTGACCGTTGCTTTTGGGCTCTGTTTTGAATCTCAGACTCCATTTTGGAATGATTGATTATTTTATTTCTGCATGTCCCTTGTATTGTGATTCAGGCCTTTTCAGTTGGTCTTAATTCTCACAACCGTTCTCTGTGTTGGGCCTCCCTGGAAGAATTCATTAAAGCTTTCTCAACTCATAGAGGTCAATTAAACATTTTCATTGATCTCTGCCTTTTGTAACCTGGCACCCCTTCAGATCTGAAGGACTCTAAATCCCATCATTCCAGCCAGTTACAGTCCTGACAATTGGAAGGCATGAGGTCAGGGAAGGCAGAGCTACCATTTTTTCAAAGTCAAGTTTTCTCAGACAGCTGTACAACACCTATATAGGTACAACACCTATATATTCAGGTTTCAAGTTATGTAAGTGCCTGATCCTGGCCAATCTTGACAGCTAAGCAGGGTCAGGCCTGGTTAGAATCTTCTTGGGTGACCTGAGTGTTTAAGTCCATGATTATTGTAAACCACCCAGAGAGCTTCAGCTATGAGCAGTAAGGAAGTGTAATGATAGAAATACCCACCTAAATTGATCCACGCAGAGTTCTTTGCAGAACTATCCGACTTCCTCCATTATCCAGCTTCCCAGAGACCATGGGGTGTTTCCTTCTGTGGTCATTGGACCCCAAGATCTGCCTGGGAGATTGCAGATGATGAACCACTTACCTGGGGGCTCGGAGGAATAATACAAATACCACGTAATGAATTCTTTCATGAACTGTTTGCCTTGCATTCTTCCATTTTGTTTGCTTGTTTAAAGTGGAGAGCATAGGACAGTGGGAGAGGACATCTATTATAATGGGCTCCCCCTGTAAACTTCCCTCTCTCACCATAACACATGGGAATAATTATGTATTTATGCATTTATTTATTAGATTTATAAACCACCTTTTTCTTCTTTTTTAAGAACTCAAGGCAGCTTACATCATTCTCTTCCTTGTGCTTTCGGCCTTACCCCCACAACAGCCCTGTAGGCTAGGCTGAGAGTCTGCAACTGGCCCAGAGTCACCCAACTTTGGCTGAGTGGGGACTAGAACCCGGATCGCCTGAGTCCCAGTCCTGCGCTCTTAAGCCCTACACCACACTACTCTCTCTTTATCAGGCGAGGCACTGCTGTGATATTGTCACTTTCTGTACTTTTGCAAGCAGCTATTGGGAGCTGAGGTGCTGAGATGCTCATTGCAAGAGCAGCCCCCCCTCCCGATTACTGGTGGGGGGCTGGTATCACCATGATGTGCAATGCAGCATGTGCTCTAGCTTCACATTTCTGCTGAGAAAACCCCAGGTCCGGTTTCGGGGAGCTGGTGTCCTCCAGGTGTGCTGGACTTCACTGCAGTTCCCAGCCAGCTAAGGGCAGTAGTCATGCCCATTAGAAATTGCACCCAGCACAGCTGGAGTATTACAGGATGGGGGATGCTGATGGACTCCTAATCCAGGAAGTGCCACCTGCCCAGCAAGTGGAGTCCTTTGCTTTTACCCTATTAGCATACAGCATTTCTCCTCTGCTCGTGCAAAGTTGATACCAGCAAGGTTAAAGTAGGTAAATATGGGTGGTGTTGTTGGAGCAGAGCTCCGAGACAATCCTGATTGTTTCCTCCCCAACAGAACATTTTCTTCTTGCAGATTGCAGATCATTTTGTACTCTGTGGAGCATATGGATATTTTATTTTATAACGGAAGCAACAATAGACACGAAAGGGACTTGAGTGGGCAGGTATTCTGAAATGAGGAAGGCTGTGACAAGCGGTACAAGCATTTGTAGGTGAATGTTTAGAAGCTTTTGCACCCTTCACCTTTGGTCTCCTTTTTAGCTGCCAAAGCAGGCCGGGTCACTTCAGCCAAGCCAGAGTCATTGCACTGAAATTTCTTTTGAATGCTGATGCATCTCTAAATAACTCTTCCCTGTGTACTAACAAGTAGAGTTTCAGCTGCTAAACCATAATTACTGAGAATATTGGACTATTGGTAATGCAGACTGTTGATTCTTGATGTCTGATGGTTGCTGTTTGGCTTTTTCTGCATGCAAGAGTGACTGAAGTAACCAGAAACTTACCTGCATGGAAAAAGTTCGTGTTATGTCACAATCAGGACCCCTGGTTTGTCTCTCCTCTAACCAAGGTTTGAAGTTGGCTTACAGATGCAGGCTCGTTTTATGACTGCCCATGCCCACCATGGCAGCCATTTTGTGAAAGGGTCCACGATACCCTCTCAAAATTGCAAATGTGCTTACCAGCCCAGAGAAATTGGAGACTCACAGGCTATTCCACATTGCCTACCTTATTTATTAGGCTACTCACTGCCCCCCGTGGGGCAAAACTCTGGAACCAAAGTGTATTTTATTTGAACAATCTTTTTAAAGAGCTATCCACGGTCCATTTGTACTGGGCTAAACACTGGCACTAAATTCCAACATTCTGAGCAGAGTAACAGTACTGAAGGGTTAATACAGTGCAACAGTTAGAGCATGGGAACAGAACTGGAGATGCCATGTTAAAATTCCCCACTCAGTTTTGAACCTCACTGGACCATCTTGGACCACCCGTGTGTGCACCTTCTCCAGTATGGAAAAGGAAGTCAAATTCCATTCATTCAGGCCAAAATGCATGTTTACCTGGAAGTAAGTTCCATTGAACACAGTGGGACTTTTAATTTCATGCAAACATGGACAGGATTGTGCTGCAGGGATCTTAAGTGGTAACTCTAAAGTGGATTGGCAGCCTTTGTCAGGACAGGAGCACCATGCACTCTTAGCTTCTTTTTAATATATAAATGCATGTTTCTATCCCATATGGCTATAAAGTTATGCTGAAAGTATGTGAACTCTTAGGTTGATGTCTCAGAAGTTGAGTTAGGAACAGGACTTGGGTCTCCTGCATGATGGAATTAGGAAGCTGCCTTATAACAGGTCAGGCCTCTGGTCTGTGGAAGGCCAGTGTTGTCTCCTGTGACCACCAATGGCTCTCCCAGGAGTACAGTGGAGTTCTTTACCCTCCCTTTGGGCCCTTAACTTTTTTATTTAAACGTCATTTTAATTGTTAACAATATTTGCTTATTTATCTGGCCAGGGCGACTTCTTTTATATTGTTATTTATTTTAAATTGTTAATTTTATATTGTTATTTTTGTATTTTATTGTATTTTATTTTATGCTGTGAGCCGCCCCGAGGCTTCGGCAAGGGGCAGCATAGAAATGTTTTAATTAATTAATTAATTAATTAATTAACAAACAAACAAACTGGAGCTGCTAGGAGCTGGTACATGCTAAGCACCGCCATTGGGCTTTGTTTGCTCCCTGACAAGCATAAATTGTGCAAAATAGTATAAATGAAGAATGTAAATAATACTCAGATGGGATTCTTTTAAGTAAGTTACAGATCCAGCTTCTCTGGGCAGTTCTTAGTATGGGATAGTCACATTCCTTCTATTAAGCTTTGACTTCCTACGAAGGCTTTATTTTTCTAAAGCTCATGAATAACAGCGCTAATAGGGACAAAAATTATTTTTAATTTCTTATCTTAGTTTTATAAATGCCAGCAGAAGCAAGAATTTGTTTGCAATGCAAACAGAGAAGAGCATTAAAGCATTTGCATTCAAAACACTGATATAAAACAGAACTCTTGTGTCAAATTCAATGAGCAAAATGAGGCTTGGGAATGCTGGACTGTTTTTAATTCCACATTTCTGATATATTTCTGTTATCATATCTCGTGGCAGGAGGCCAGCAGTAAGCAGACCCTTCCTATCCATCTGACAAGTGTTGGAAAGGAAGCACCAAAGCCGCATCCAAGAAACAAGGTACAGAAAATCGGGCATATTGCTTATTATTCTTTCCACTGCTTTTGTTTTGTTTTGTTTTGTTTTGTTTTGATTTGATTGCATTTCACGTATACATGTTGCAAAAATTAGGAGCTGTGCTTTTGAAGTATTCCTAATTCTGGAGTGGAAGGATCAGGGTGATTGTAATTTGGCAATCCACTCAGGACTAAAACACACCACAGGCCTCGAACTTGAGGCTTGTGTAATGTCAGGGTTACAAATTCATCTTCTTTAAGCAGTGCAACCATGGAAGGGACTTTGGAGTCAGGGATGGAATTGCCCTCCAGACTGGCCTCAGGCCACCCCACCAGTCCGGAAGCCCCTGCACAAGTGAAGCCAGGGCTCATCCAGGCTCAGCACTGGCTGTTTCTCCTAAGCAGGGTCACTCATGTCTTCTGCCACCCCATCTAGACTCCCTTGTCCCCTCTGAGCTGAGCTGCAGGACAGAAGAAGAGGAAGCACTTCACAACAAACGGGATGGCTTCCGAGGGACAAATGCCCGGAGGAGAAGACCATCAGTGACAGCTGGTCCAGAGGGTTGCATGCCGCCTCCCGTATCAGAGAAAGCATGCCCAAGTGCATTAGCTGATGGGGAACTTAGGCAGAAGGTGCTTCTGCTAGGCTGCCATAGGACCAGAGGGCTGGACTAGGTGACCCCTTGGTCTGATTCAGCAAGGTGCTGCTTCTGTCCTCTTGTCATGTAAAGTATTTGGGGGCGGTTGGTCTTGAGTGAGCCATGGAGACTCTGAGCTTGACATAAGAGCTGCTCCTAGCAGGTGAAAATTCCTAGAGCTCAACTGCACTCGCTGATCTGGATTCATACAGCTGCCTTAGCATTAGGGTGTGTGGCCACAGAGGCGTCAGGAGGAGCACCCACAATGCAAAATCCACCACTGCAGCACCCCAAGGATTGCGGCTTGAAGCCCCAGCACAACCACAGTCTGCCCTGCACCATCAGAGCCAACGGCACTGAAGCAGCCATGGCCATTTTAACTGGAAAGGTGTCCCTTTCATTAGAGGTGGGACCTGCCTTCTAGGCTGAGCTCCGAAGGTTCCCTGGGCTTTACCTGTTGCTGAAGCAACGCTTGAGCCTCACTCCTGAAAGTCTCTACCCAGGGCGAGGGAATCTGCAGCTTCTAGGTGATGATGAACTACCACTCCCATCCTCTCTCACTGTTGGCCAGGGCTAGCTGGAGCTGATGGGAAGTGAAGTCCAACAACATGTGGTATTGGGCACCCATTGTCCAAATTTGTATTCTCACTTGAGCTCTGTATGGAACTGGAACCATCCTGAGGCTATAGGCATTGTGTACCTCTTGCCCCATCATGCTTTGCTTTCCAGGAGCCTCAGCTTGGTTTTGCCTTTCCTTGCTCCACTCAGCTTTCTCTTGCTGAAACCTGAACTTTGCCTTGCAATCTATTTTGCCAGAACTTAGATTCTTTTCTGCAGTGTGTGCCATTTAGCGTCATGTAATTTCTCCCTCTTTCTTCCCATTCCTTTCCCCTTGTGTGTCATGAAGTTTTTAGACCAGGCAGGGAAAGTCTTGCTTTACTGATGCCGTAAAAGCCATTCTGGGGCCTTTTTGTCTGAGGAACAGAATAAAACAAATAAACACTTGAGAGGATCTTGGAGCTATGCTGAAGTTATGCACAGGAAACCCCATTTCCAAGCACTAGAAATGTTTTTCAAATCCTGCTTCTGTGCCTTCTGAGGACTCAGCAGATATTTTGATCTCATATTTTCTTGACTGTCATAAGGACTAGAAACATTTATTTGGGGGCAAAAATGAAAACTGAGATGATTGGGAAGTGGCAATTCTGCAAGCACTACCATAAGTTGTACTTATTTTACAGTCACACAGAATTGTGACAAACACACAGTCTTGGCCCTTCTGGTTTTAAGCCTGACCCTAGCCTGTCCCTCCAGACCAATGGAGAAATAGATTTAAAGACTGTCACACTGCCTTACTCTTTATTTAAGCACCCAGTCTGAGTGTTTTATTTTTTATTTAAACATGTATGCCATCCATCAACCAGAGAAGGCTACTGGACGGTTTATAACGTTAAAATACATACCAACATCAATAACATATATAATCACAGAAATAGTACATCAGATAAAAATGAAATTATACCCACGGTATGCCTACCACAAACCCATAGCAACCACAACCAGTTCATTCTGGAGGCATAGCAGCAAGACCAAATAAAATATAGCAATATGAGATAAAATACAATTTACAAATATGGATAAAATTTTTAACTATTAAAATATTCAACAAATAAAAAGGGTTTTACCTGGTGCCAATTGGAATAAAGAGTAGGCACCGGGCGCACTATTTTGGAGAGCTGGCCCCAGACCTGGGGTGCCACGACTGAGAAGGCCCTGCCCTGATTCTCCATCCTCCTCTAATACCATTTCACATTGCATATGGGACTCATGATTGAACAGTCCAGCATAGTTAAACATCTCTACCCCTAGAAAATTATCACATCAAAAAAGTGCAATACTGGAATATATTTCTCTGTGGCGTGCTATTCTTTTGTGTGGAAAAATTAGAATTTTTGCCCATAAATAAACCTTCAATTTTGTGAGCTTCAGCTGATGTCTGAAAGTGGTACAGTCCAGACACAAGGTTACCAAGTCAATGAGGGACAGAAACATAAAATGTTCAAGTTGCACATCATTTCCCTTCCCCTTATTAGACGACTTCTTGTTTTTTTAATAAAGATATGAAGGCTATAGCAAGGGATTGTTATAGCCCTTGCTAGAAGAGAGCTTTCTTCTTAAAAAAGAACAAAAACCAGTGGAATCATTCATTAATTTGTGTGGGAAAGGATACAGCATTGGAGTAGAGAAGTGGGTGAGCAGTTTTTACTGAAAACCCACCCAGTGGAGACCTGCAGTCCAACACAGGAAGGACAGCAGGTTGGAGAAGGATGGAATGAAATATCAGCAAGTCAAGGACCAGTGACTGAACACTGCATGCATTTTAGCTCTGAGAACTAGGCCAGAGTCTTTGATGCAAATGCATGCTTGCCTGGGCCAGCCAGATTCATTACCCTCAGACATTTCAAAAATGACAAGAGCCTTTGGACTTGGATTGCAACATGACAGAAGCTCCAAAAGTGGCCCAACATCCTTCTGCAGAATTCCATGTTGTTGTTAGTCGCAAGCAGAATTTTATACATTGAGCCTTTTTGGGTACGCTGGAGTGCCAGATATGTGTGGTCCCCAGCTTTCCAAATGTCCCCAACTGGCTTAAAATGTGCATCTGGGCCTAGTTTAATAGTGCATATATTTGACTTCAATTAGCTGTACAGTTTTCACCCCCATCCTAGTACAAGAGTTACCCAGGCAACTAGTCTGAAGAGCGTCGCTTTCACTTATATCTGGGTCATTCTTGTCTTATGGGTTGGCTTTCATTAAGGATTGCTTTACCATAAATGGATACATTAGGCACCTATCCTTAACAATGACAAACAGCAAGGGTTCCTTAGAATCAGTCTCAGCAAAGTTGTTCTATAAACACACACTTGGCATGTTGCGGCATGCAAACTCAGCTCTCTGACCAATTGCCAGAGAACTTGTGTCAATATTTGTTTGGAATCTGAGTTTAATTTTAAGCCCCACCCATCTCAACTAACTTGGATACTCATTAGTTGCAGAGAACTAATTATGCCGTTCATGTTGTCTGCTCCCAGGGTACTGGATCTGTAGACATAAAGGCAGATGTGCAAAAATCGAGAGGAATCATGCTGCCTGTAGATTTCTTCACCCCCGAAGCATGTGAACTTCACATTAATGCAGGCTAGGTATTTACCCTTCTAGCCTGGTGTTTGCATTCTTTGTTAAGAAGCCATTTGGGAACAGTGAATTTGGGAATGTATTGCCATTTGGGAATTTGTTGGTAGTTCAGTTTGCTTCAATTTAGATGGACAGGGAACTAGTCATATTTAGTCATTGCTGTCTCTGTCTAACTCTCTCTCTTTCTCTTTGACCTGGTTTGCACAACAAGACAACCCACCCTGGCCAATTATCCATGAATAAGCCATGCTGAGAACCTGGACAACCAGTCCCTGTGCAGGTCTGGGCTGAGAGTTCCCAGAAGGGGCACAGCTCCAAGCATTTATTCTTTTAGCTTAGTGTGTACAGCTAAAAACCCACTGGTTTTATATGAAGATGGTAGCAAATGATGGATTTTGTTTTTTAATCTGTTCAAATGCCTTGCCAGGGCCTGAGACAAGCCTTCTGCCTCCCAAATTTGCTCAGCTGGATCAATTTCCCCACATAAACCACGTGCCCATTCAGTGTTATGCCTCTGACAGAGTTTCTCATTCAGGAAACCATTTGTAGAATGCTGGGAAAGGTGACAAGCCCTCTTTCCCCAGCTGAATCTTCCAGTCATCTGAGATGACAAAGAGACTCAGTATTTTCCAGTACTTGGGAAACTTGAGCCAGCACTGAATGGTGCAATGGAGAAACAGTCCACTCTTGGTTCCTCCCTGCCCCCCAGATATGTGTGTTTCCCATAGGAGAAAGAGAAGCTCTTGCACTCAAGTGGATTGAATAGTGCAGAATGCAGATTGGAGGGAACTGGGCTGAGGATATGGCAGGCCAGGAATGGGGCACTGAAGGACCACGTCTGGCCCTCTTGGCTTGACAAGATGGCCACCCCTCCCACCCCCAGTCACCAGTCACCGACCAGTTTCCTAGCTTTTGTGCAGCTTCCCTTCCTTCTTAAACTTTTGCAATCTTCTCTTAAGGTTCAGTAGCGGACAGTAAGGGCTTTAAGCAACAGCATGTTGGTCGTTTTGTATTTATAGCCCTTGTCCCATCCTTTTTATTTTTGGCCTTACCCAGCAGGGAAAGGCAGCCTCTGAGTGCTTCTTTGAAACTGAGCTGCTCTCAGCTAAAGGAGGGTCTCGGCTTCCTGAGTGCACCAAGTGAGCAGGCCTGAGTGTGTGTGGAGGGAGAA